ATAATAATAATAACAAATAGTAATAATAATAATGATAATGATAAGTATACTACTAATTTGTCGTAATCAAAAATTGAGTGAATTAATCAATGTGTATATTTTAAAGTATGCTTAAGATGGTTATTCAAACCTTTCAGCATGTTGTTGTTCGAATGAAATTTTTTTAACCATTAATGTGGTTGTAAAATATCCTTGTATTTGTCGCAATTTTTGTAATTTTTTCCAATTTTCTTCGATCGTATTTCCTAGATCCAAATAACTTCGTTGCTTTTCCTCTAATCCAATCATTAATTCTCTTATTCGGCATTCTGCACTATAATAAAAAACGCGTATTATAAGTAAGTTTGGTTTATTTAAAAAAACTTTACGACAACTTGTTTAAAAGAAAAAAATTGGTAATAAAAGTCTGAAATTTACATACAATGCTAAAAAAAAATTATTTTGGAATTGTTTTCTTTAAAAAAAAAAAAATCATTGTAATATGTTATTATTTGTAAGGAAACGTACTGCCGTGTACGCATTCATTAGCGAATTATAATTAGTTAGGAAATCTTGCTATTATATGGCAGTTTTTCGAGATTATTACTATTTAATGTTTTAAGCTAATTGCACAAAATAGCGAATTACAAATTTTATTTTAGCACTCTAATATTTTGCAAATGAGAAGTTTCTAACTTTTCTTTTTCATTTTTCTGTAGAATTCTTCCACTACGTAATATTTTTTCTTCCATTTCAACTTCTTTTAATAATTTCAATGCTTCTTGCATTTTTGCTGATTGCATTTTATGCAAATTTCGAATAGTGCTGCATAACTGCAATTAGTTCGTTAAAGTTATGACATTGATATTTGATTTATATTTATAAAAATTAGGTATGAGATGTCTTCGACATTTAATATCCTATTATTTTTCTCTCATAATTTTCATTCATAATTAAACTGAATTATAAACCAACCAAATCTTCCTGTCCAAACAACCAATGATAATTAAAAACGATTCGATTCAAATCAATATCCAACTGTACAAAATCTTGTTGCTTAATTCGGCTAAGTGCTTTATCCCATTCTTCAGCTTTAACATATCGACATGGATTGCGACAATTATCATCATAACGTTCTGGCTACAATTAAACATATTTCATTCCAATTAAACTTTAAAACAGTATACTTGTTATTTGATGTAGTAAAAATGAAAGGAAAAAGAAGAATGATTATCGATCGTTATTTAAAGTTAAAAATTGTTTTAAATTCAATGAAGTTATATTTTATTCTGACTTTCTTGTCTTCGTAAAATTGTGGAAAAAACTGTTTTTGTTACTGAAATTATCATTGATTATGCTGTGCCTTGAAAAATGCTAAAATTATTTAACACCTATGCTTTTTGCGATTACATGCTCTACGAAGCATTTCAAATCAATAGGCTTCAAAGTAAACTTCAAAAAACTTTTAGTATATTTTACGATTTCGCCTTCTTTGCTTTCTCTTACATATTTTGCCTTTTAAATTTCTTGCAAACGTGAAATTCGTTACTCGTTTTGGAACTCTGTCAATATCCAAATTGCTTCCCAATACCATTCCAGAATCGTTGATAAAATGTTCGCCCACTCTTTGTAGTAATAATGCATAATTTTGTAATTTAAAAGTTTTGATACTGAAAGTTATAAATTAATTCTATCATTGCTGAAAAATTACTTTCTTTTTCTTTGGGGAATTTATCGAAATTATTAGCGATTAGTCGACAAAAACAACAATGATAAATGCTAATAATAGAACTGATATTATTTAGTACAAATACCAGATATCATAAAAAAAGGGAATGAAATTAAAATTTTACTAAAGCTTACTTTTGCATTCCATTTTCAATCGATGCTGATGACACTGTCGGATCAAATCGTTTATTATAAACACAGCATAGTGATTCAAATTGTTTAATTTCATCAGATGATTGTGGTTGTGCTGCCATAAAAACGACTAAATGTCTGCTGTATAATGTTAAATGGAAAAAGAAAAATTGAGCTAAATTTGAAAATTTCAAATTTTGTTTGGTAGTTCATTTTTTTTGAAAAAAAGAATGAAAGAAATGAAATAAATCGAAATAAAGAAAAAAAGTGAAGCATTATTTATTACGATATTTTTGAAACTATGAATTTTTAGACCTTTAGAAATTTGTTTCTGCTTAGTTTTCATATTCTGATTAGTTTGGAATTGACCAGTCATAAATTCATATTGAACATCATCAGATGGTAAATAATTCACACAATCAGCGGTACATTTCTCTCCAAGCTATACAAAAAAAAATCCTTTTGTAAATTTGCTTAAAAATTGGTATGATTCAAAAAAAAAAATTGTTCGTTTTTTCGACTAACAAAAATAATCAAAAATGATACTAATACTAATATTTTGCCATTTGTCATAAAAAAGTTACAGTCATATAACAGATTGGAAATTGTCTTAAATTTATAGCTTTTAATTGTAAATTATTATGTAGCCTGACAAAAAAATAATAATAAGCATGGTAAACAACTGAAAATATTGAAGTAAAATATTTGAATTTTTAAAAAACATTAACATTGAAAGAGTGAAAAAAAGTAAACCTTCATGGAATGTTCGATTTGTTTATCAAGATTTTCTTGATTTATCTCAGTAAGGATTCCAAAAGAATCCTGCCTTATTGACTTATTACGTTGTTGACGTTGCAATCGCTTATTTAGTTGTACAGACCCACGTCGCACTTCCATTTCTTGTATTAGCTTTTGTCTTATCCGTTCACGTATGGTTTGTGTATTCGGTATGGATGATGCATTGGTTATTTTGGATACGGGAGATTCATAGGAAGGACTAAAATATCGATTTGTCGAACTCTATTAGTAGGAATAAAAAATCGACAATCCTCAAAAATGCAACTATGATACTTCTTTAAAATATTTGCATTAAATTAAAAGTTTTTAGATAAAATCGGCATTATTCAATTCTTATCTTGAAAAATAGTTAAAAGTAAAAGTAGCTTGCAAGTATTTAAGTGACAGTTGATTTATTTCAAAAGATAGAGCATCCTAAACTACTCGTTTTTTTTCTTAAAAACATAGTAAATTTTTTAGATCTTAAAATTAACCTGTTAATTTGATTTAAATTTGAATTGTTATCAGATGATTGATCATGCTAAAAAAAAATATATTTTATTTGCTATTCAATTAAATTCAAGGAAATTACACCATATAGTTTCATTTCATTCGCGTTATATTTAATAAAATCTTAGACAGTTATTCAAACATAAAGAAGAAATGATATGAAATTTAATTAGCCTAACATAATGCTGTTATAGCTAGAGATAAAAAAAAAATTGAATTTTTATCATACTAAATTGATAGCTTGAGATTTGTTCCTATCCGTTGCTATTGGATTCATTTCCTGGACCATATTGCCATCATCATTTTCTAGGCTTTCTACCCAACTGCTTTGCAATTTTCCAACCATTTCTTTTTCCAACTCTTGAATTGCTTCCGCTTTTTTTTCCATATTTTTTAAACTTTTAATATCTCCTCTTAAATACATGAATAAATTAGAATTATCGAATTTAAAAATTAAATATATTGAAGAGTAGGGGTGATGCAAAGATTAGGTTAATAACAATTTTCAATGATGAAATTTAAATAATTTTCAGGAAATTATTAGTATTTTAATTTCTATGAAATCCTCAACCAACTTTTGTGCCGTTTTCTAGTATAAAAGTCAATTGAGAATACTGTAATCAATACTGATTACAGTGTTAACTATTAAAAAAAGCTCTATATAAATAATGTAATTAATATTAAACATATGTTAATAATGTAATCAATATTAAAAAAAAACTTAATACTATATTGAAGAATATCAATAATTATTTGTTTTTCGATATAGTTATGATAATACAAATTGCATATTTTCTTTTCAACTTTCTATGAAATCACTCGAATTACTTTAGGTATTTGTATTAATTTTATATGTTTTATTAATTCCAATTAAATTATTTAAAACATCTTGTGAATAAAAAGCGATAAAAGTAAGTAATCCGCCGGTATAATTATAATTTACCGATAAATTAGTTAACAGCATATTAGAAAACCATCAGTCATGAAAGAATGTCATTTCTTATTTTATTGATTCTAATTAAACTATTCAAAATATAGTATGGTGTGAAAAATTGCAAGAATTTAATTGAAATACAAATACTCTAGTAGCAATCAATAAATAAAAATGACATTCTTTTGAAAAAAAATTTTATTGATTGAAAAAAATTTCATCACATGTATGATAATCTACTAAATAATCAGATATATGATCATTTCATTCAGTGATTAAAAAATGTACTTACTATTTGAAGTGTTAAATAAGAAAAACTTTCTGCATCACAAAAATTAATTATTAGCATTAAACCGCTAAGTATCAAGTAGCATTGGGTGTAAATATAAATTTAAAATAAGAAATGAGCAAATCGATAAGTACTGCATGACCTACTGTTGCTATTGACAACGATATTAGTAATTAAATATATTGCAAGAACAAATAAACTAATGTGCAACTAATTATGATTTCAAATTTAAATTTCTACAATAAGCGGTAAATAAATGAAGCAAAAAGCAATGGAGTATTTTTTACAAATAATTGACTTAAATTTTCCTCGAGACTTTTTTTTGGTGTTAAAGATTATAGAAAAATTACAAAAACAAAAATGATGGCATTTGAGATTATTTCAAATTATAAATGATTTCAATTCATTTTTTGCAATAATCATTACTTACTCGCGCTTCGAGACATAAAAGCTTTTGTATTTTGAAGACGTGAACACTTTCATACTTCAAGAATTTTATCGACGCGAAAAAAAATTATTTGAAAGAAAAGAAACCTAAAAGCATTCAGTGAGGTGATTGTTTAATATATCATAGGTTAAGTTAAGTAATAAATGACAACTAAATATCAACAGTTATCACTCAACAATACTTTTAACACCTTAATTGTAAAATAAACATTTATTTCAAAAAAAGACGTCACAATAATTTAATCTAGAAATCAAAATTTGATGTCATGATCGTCCCAATATTTTTCGTCTATTAATTTGTTGCCGTATTTTGATTGATGTTGATAGTTACCATCGATGAAATTATACATTTCAATTATACATTTTGTGGTAATAATATCTCATCATTCATCATAGGTTCTGTTTCTCATAAAATAATCGAAATCTGAGATAAATATGAATTAAATGTAGAATAAATTAGCAGGGGATTAAAATTCAAAAAAAAAAAACATTTCCGCTCAAAAAATGAGATTAAGCGATTAAGTTTAAACTTACATTAAGATTTAATAATTGTTTTTCAAATATTGTTTCATTTTTTTATTGTAACGTTTTATTTCTTTGTAATGTTTTGGTTCTTCTTTGGTACCATAAATTATGAGCGTTATATTACTGACAATACCTGTCATCGCTTTATTCGCCATACTCTTTAAAAGTAATTCAATCAAATTGTAATATATAAATTTAAATTTGAATGAGTGAAGCAAACTTATGATAATGATTTATTTTACTGATGAATCAACATTTTTTTTTTCATTTAGTTAACTCTTTCTATCAATTTTTAACAAGCTTGATTAACTTCATCACTCGATCACCAAACGTAATCATCTTTACTTAATTTGCAAACAGTTTAAATTCAAATATTTTTATCGTTTTAAAAAATTAAAAATCTTTTAAAATTTCAGAAGTATAATTTATAGTATAAAATTTCAATTTAATTTCAACGTTTTGAAATAAAAAGTTTTTTTCTCCTGTCTACAGTAATGATAATGAACCATCGCCTTTTCTCGCAATATAAGTCATTTAGCAACAACAGTATTATTGCTAGTAAAATTTGATCAAATTACAAATTTGGCCACTTAACCTTGTCCTCAATATCCAATTGCCAAAGTCCTCGTGGATTCTCTCCCCATGTATGCACTGACATAAATGGCCAATGATGAAAGCCAGCTGACGATTTATCCTTATGGCGAACCGAAAGAAGTTGAGTTTTAGTACCTATAAAATGACGAGTTTCTTCTTTTTCACTAATATACGGAATTTAAAAAAAAAAAAAAAAAAACTCCTAAAAAACGAATTCAAACCTTTTGGTGAAGTAATCGAAATAGAAAGATGTCCACGGATGGGATAATATGCGTCTAGCACCAATTGTATATGTTCCAGAAAATTTATTTCATTTTTTTGTCCCTCACAACCATTCGTTTGGAATTTAATAACGGTTGTGCTTTCATCATTTATTTCGCTAAATAGTGATAATAATTTTTGCAAACAAAAAATTCAAAGTTTAAAAAATGGAATAAGATACAATTCTATTCCCAATTTGAAACATTGCGTCTTATCTTTTAAGCACTTATATATTACGCTAAGATGAAATAACATTTCTCAATTATGAATGCTCAGAGGTATACTGTACTATACAGTATCCAAGTTTGGAAATACCATACATTCTGTAGTGATTGTAATCACAACATATATTACATTTGCAAGCTATTTTGAAATTACTGTTTTGAATTGAAAAGTTTACCGTTTTAAAAAAGTTGGAAAAATCGTGGTACAAATATGTTGCTCCGGTACGTTTTCCCAAGTTTTTGCAGCCTTAACAAATGCGCTCGCATCCATTAATCCTATTGAAAATTTTGATAAAATCTTAGAAAATTCAAACTATTTTTATAATTGTAATTGATGAAAAGTTTCATACAGAACGTATAACTTTCTTTATTCTGTCTAGAGTGAAAATAAAAGTTACCGAATCCGAAACGTGAGTTGATGAGCAATCCTCGAGCATTTTTATTCCAACCTTCATTAATATAAAGCAATGGCAAAGGATCTGAAGTCCAAACAGCGATGTGCTGTACATCACGCCATGTTAATGATGGACTGCAACAGTTTTTAATTGTTTAATTTATTTTTTAATTTAAACTTTAAATCATTAGTACTTCCAATTCAATGCAAGTATTAAATCTGATTTGAATGGTTGGTGTAAAAATGATAGGGCTTTAAATTGCCAAACATGTTCCGGAATTGTTTGATTAACTTTTTTCATTTTTGAAATGTCTTATTTTCTTCAACAATGTTCGTATATTCAATATTTAGTATTTAGATCTTCTGGTGTGACATAATATAAAATATACATTAGCATTAGTGCTTCCGGATAAAAAATCATCTCCATTATTGACCAATGAATTATGTGCTATCTCATTTCTTATACTGTTAGATTGTTAATATTAAATTAATTCTGATTGTTAATATTATTTAGCAAGAATTGTTTATCAAATATTGAAAAAAAAAACATCAACGAAAGCTAATTATGATCAATCAGAATTAATTTAAAAATTTAACAAACTTTGCATCTAAGCCAAGTGCGATAATTGCTGCTGCCATTGGAGCTGATGCTGAAGTTCCGGCAAAAGTTTCTGTACATTTGTTTTCTATATCGGTTGTTGTCTGGAAATAAAAAGCTGTTCGCTAAATTTAATCAACTATTTTCTTGGATCAGTAACAAAATTCTCCAATTATAGGTAAATTTTTAAATACATAACATAAATTCTAACTTCTATTTTTTATTTCCCCAATAAATTTAATCAATCAACTTACGATCATTTGCTTCCCATGATGACCATTGGAAAATGTAGACGTTAATGTGGCAGCACATTTTTCAGCATACCATGGTGATGTACCATCTTCGGTTACACTTGATACTGTCAACGTATAAATACTATCGATGTAGCCATCGCAACCGCAATCATCATCCTGCATTCCACCATTACCCGATGCCCAAACATAAATGACACCTTTCCCATTACGACCCTCCAAAAAATATTTAGCAGACAAAGAAAAAAAAAATGCTATCCTAAAAAAATTATTTTAACTTCAATTTTCAAAAAAAAAAAAAATTATTTTAGAAAAAAAATTATTCCAACTTTAGTTTCTAAGGAAAAAAAAATATTTATTTTAACTTTAGTTTCTAAGAAAAAAAATTATTTTAATTGCTAAGACAATCATTTTAATTTTAACTTTAATTTGATCAAAAAATGCTAAAAAAAAATTTAACCTTAGTAAAATATTTTAAGAAAGTACAAAAATTTCATGCTTGTAATATATCAAAAGCATTTTTTTTTTCATCAATTCTATAAAAATTCTTCAATACTTGTTGAATGCCTTTTAGGATGGCTTTTTGTGTCAAACGTCCGGGACCTTCAACCGTTTTTCCATCATCCATTGGTCCCCAGCTAGCAGAAAAGATATCGATATGATTGATGTTATAACTCAAAGCTTCTGCTTCAATCCTATCTGTAACTTTACCACCTAACATTCGTACACCTGCAAAAACTACATAAACAGGAATTGTTAACCAAGCAAAAATTATTAGTAAAATGAATAATTAAAAAAATATGGGCGACTGCTAGAAAATTAATAAACTTATGGTGACCCAAAAGATCAACAAAATAATACTATCATGTTATCTTTCGTTTAAAAAGCAATAAAATATAAGAAAAATGCGCAAAATACCTCCTATTTTAGCATTATATGCTATACCAACACCACAAAATGAATTATTCGGTGTCATTGCAACTTGACCTGCGCAACGAGTACCATGCCTAAATTTGTTAATCAAATTTTCTGCATTTTTTTGATGCAGAATTATCTTTTCACTCATACAAAAAATAAAAAATGTACCCATTCAGTCCGTTAAATTTAGGCATTGGATCAGGATCATTGTCATTTAAATCATATGAGGCTTGAGGATCCTGAAAAAAACAGAACAAAACAAAGATAGAGGATTTATTATTTGAGCTTGGTTAGCATAAAACTAAATGTCAATAATAAAAAAAAAATCATTCTGAACTTTTGAAATTTAAATTTTAAAAAATCATTGCTTGCATTAATTATTAATTTTTAAATTTTGACAAGTAATAGAAACTAACATAGTTGTTGGCAATATCCGTATGATTGTGCTGTATGCCATCATCCTAAAAAGATGATTATCAATCATTACTAAATTTTATCAGTTAGTTTTAATCTATTCATCGATATCATACATTTAAATATCATTTCAAGCTTCACATTTTATCAAATTTACAAAGGATTATGAAAGTCTAGAAAACATATTATTGCATGTTAATCACTTTGCATCTTCCAATGATTAAAAAACTTCGTATCAAATGCTGTCAAGTGCTAATTAAATCATTGATTGATATTTATTACCAGCCAATTGAAACAATGTCCAATGTATAATTTTATCGTTACTGGAAGTTGCAATGTGATTAGAAATGGAAAATGCAATTTCCATAATTTTGTTAGTTTATCCTAATGTTTTCGAAGAAATAATATAAACTTTACAATTTAACGAAATACATGACAGCAGTTCAATATTCTAAGAATGACTTAGCAAAATTTTTAATAACTAAATTTTTGACCAATATTGTCACGACGACATCTTTTCCAGTGTAACCAAGCTCCCAAGCTTTCATCACATGCATACTGATTGATTGGCCATTTATAGTCCTCGAGTTTTTCTGAATTATTTCATTAATCTGCAAATTTTTGCTCGCAGAAACATCATCCCTTTTGTAGGCAAATGAATCGTAAGTTTGAATTTTAGCCAGTTAGAATTTAAATTAAATAGAAATTCTTATTTCATTTCAAATATTGCTCACATATTTAATCAGTGTCCTTTTTTCTGCTTATTACAAATTTAACGTTCGACAAATTTATTTGAAATGAGATGATTAACTTGTCTGATTCAATGATGATACGAAATTTAACGCATCCAAATTTTCAATACAGTGCTAATTTTCAAATTTCTATAGCCTTCATAAATTCTTTTCTTTAAATCTTCATTTCCACATTTTCTTCCAAAAAACTTTTAAAATTATTCGTTTCATATAGCATTAATTTAATATTGAATGAAATATGAAAGCAAATTCACAACCAAATTCCACTGTTGAGGCCAGAATGGATCGTTAAAAAAATTATCATTGTTATAATTGGCATCGTTAAAAGCTGCAGAAGTAGCACTAATATGATCACGCTTAAATCGTTTATGAACTCGTTGTTGTTGCGCCCAAAGTACCTTCAAAGTTTTTTTTTTTAAATTTTCCTCCTTTATTTCGAAAAAGAAAAAAAAAAGGGAAGAACTGGTTTTAAAACAAAAATTTGAGCGCATACAATTTTTTCGAACGAGCTATAAAATTAAATGAATTGATGCACATTTGTTCATATATTAAAAAAATGTAAGTATGCTAAAACATGAAGAATTTGAAAAGTTACGGTATAAATCACAATTAATAAATATAAATGAATCTGAAAACCTGAAAGAAAGAAAGAAATCAATGCAAACATGTCTGTGACGACAAAGTTCAAACGTTGATTTACTGTCTGCTTTTCTTTTTCCTCTGTGATTTTTTTTTGAAAAAATATAGACATTATCAAAACCGCGAACCTGAAATTAATTCTAACTGGAATAGAATAACTTAATAATTGAATTATAGGGTAGGGAAAATTGTTTAGACTATTATATGTTGCTATTTCAAAACGATTTTACTTATTCGAGAATACAGCGATATCCAAAAATGGAAGAGATTGAAAATTTGAAAATATTCTAATCAAAGATTTCACTGTCTAACCTTTGGTATTGCGGCATGGAAACATAAAACATACGGGAGCAATATATTTATATCCGACCGCCCGAGCGATATTTTTTGCTTTATACGGTCCACCCATGATTTCTACCACCCACTCATTATCGTACTCCTCTTCGTCATTAACCTCAAAAATAAAATTTATTAAAGCTCACTTCCGTAATAATTCGCTTGATATAGAAAGAAAAAGATACGTGAGAGACAATAGCAAATGACATTATGACATATCATCAAATATCATATTATCATTCATTCAAAATTGATCAATAATAAATTTCTGTAAAAATAATTACTGATTAGCGTGTACTGAAATTTCTCTGTTTATCATCTAGTAAAATCTAGTATGGATACATTAATGGTCTAGTAATCCACATTCCTGAATTTTTCCTTCGATTTAATCACTAATTAGGCAGTCAACAGGTTAATGAGTCAATACTGCTGTAATTTATCAAAATAAATTTGAGGTAAAATGCAGGAATGAGGCCTTTAGGCATAAGTAGAGAGAAGGATTTAGGATTTACTGGCAAAGATCAAAGATCAATCATCACCTGATCATTGTTGTGAACGATATTTATTTGCTGTAACTTTTCATTTAGTCGGAGAAGTTTTGGTAACAATGTTACCAAATTTCTTTCATCATTATTTCCATTCCAAACCTGTCGATGAAATGAGACACATCCAGGTATCATAATAATTATGCTAATAAACAATCCAGCAGTTGTAAATAGAATTGGATAAATTTTAGGAATTTGAAATATCAATGAGAAGAGAATCATGAATTTTTTTATTCCTGAAAGAACTAAGCTAAAAGTTCCAGAAAATATATCAGTATTAAAGATTAAAATTTTGGAAATTTGCAAGAATACTACAAACAGAAATTTTTTATCACTATTATTTTATTGCACATCTATAAATCAAAAAATGGAATAATAATTTATTTCTAAGGGGTTAAAAAATTTATAAAATAACGATGAAATTTCAACCAAAAATTGAAATTTGCTAACATTAAGGATGGAAAATTTGAAAAACAAAAAATATTGGAATGACTAATAAAAAATAATGCAACAAAATAATTTCACTTTTTTGCTCATTTCACATTTGTCAAATTATAAATTTTCAATATTACATGAACTGTTCAAATCTATTTTGCTTTTGTAATTTAAATATTAAAATGAATTTTTTGAATGAAAAATTCAAAAAGGATGAAATAATTTGTAATAGAAAAGATTGTATGAAATGATGAAAAGTTGACTGAAATAATAGCAAATAATAATTATCATTCGTGAACGCAATACGATGAGAGGTGCAGGATAAAATCAGATAAAAAAAAAGAAGCAAAATGATGATGCTTCTTCATAAATATCCATAAAAATTATTGCTAATCACATATGCACTTCTCTAACATTGAATTTTTTTTTTCATTTTCATATTGACTTTTTTATCGTAAAAAATAAAAAAAAGTTTTATTGAGTTTTTTCTCGCGCAGAAGAAAAATGAACAATTTGCTTAATCATTCGACTTCATCGCTATTTATTTATTTATTCGTTCATTCTTTATTTATCGATAATTCCTATGTCGAATTTTGAATTCGACTTAAAATGATTCATTTCATTTATATTCGCTTTTTTTTTCACTTTCTTTTAAATCAATCCAAATATTGTCATAATTAGTATTTAGTTGAATTCTGAAGTTAAGTAATGCCATACGTATTCCTACATATATATTTTTTTAAGCATGCAAAAATAAACCATCATTATAACTTTCAAAGAAAAGCCAAAAAATTTCTACTTGAAATATTCTTTCAATATTTAACAAATATGATAATCAATTATAATCTATATTAACATTGTTTAGTTTTGATTCTTCATATTTTTTTAATTTCGACAAAAAAAAAGCAAAAAAAAAGGAAACTACGAATAGCAAAACAAAAAATAACATTCAGTTATTGATTAGAATTTGAAAAGATAAAAATTTATAGTAAAGAAAAAAGTATAAAGCGTAGTGAAAAGAAGAAAAAGAGAAAGTTAATTAAATTGTTGAATAATTTCAGTTAATTACTTTGTTGTTTTTAAATAAGTTACAATAAACTTTCCAGAAATCTTCCGCTCTTTTTCGTCATTTCATGTCATAATTTTATAAATTTCTAAAATGTTGAAACAATTACCTTTTTTTTCAAAAATTCTTGGACATTAACATTTTGGATGCAAATATGATGACAACATACAAAAGCACCAAACTAAAATTTTAGTAAATACGTTTATAAACGAGCAGTCAACATTCAAATTAATATTTCTTTCCCCGTTTTTCAGGTTATCGAAATGTAAAAAAAAAAAAAAAAAAAAATTAATTAGAAAAAGAAAAAATTGTCATTACACTGAAATTTTGCCTAAGTAATGTTACGTTTAAATATTACTTTTGCAGTTACATTTAAAACGTATTAATCTGTTAACGATTCTACAAAATTACATGTAAATTGTTATTTAGTCCTGTTAATATATTAATAAAATTTCATATCGATAATTATGTAATTTCAAAGCTTCACAGAAAACGATTGCGCAATCGTATATGAAGTTAATTTGAATTACAAAGATTCGCATTAACTGAGTAAATTGAAAGGAACAATTGTTGTTGTCTTGTGAAATGAATTTTTTGTAACGTAATAAATGATCAAAATTAGCTTAGATAAGCATATTAAAATCGTTAAAAAATGATTTTTTTAGCAAAAATTTTTGGAAATATTTTAAAATATTCTTGAAGCAGAACAATGATCTAATTTTAAATACACCGCGCACCTTTGCAAGATTACTATCATAAAATGATAACTTTACGATCAACTAAGAAAAGTTTAGCTTTTTTTCATGACATATGAACAAGTACACACTGTAACAAGTAAATGAATTACTAAGGTTAATGAAGATAAGTTGAATGCTATGGTTCAGGAAAAATTTTTTCCTCTAAATTATGTTAATTTTAAATTTATTTCATTGAAAGATATCTTCAATTTACGTTGGTTAATTCGTTTATTTATTTAAGTGTTGCAGTGCAGTAGCTGAATAACTTGTTAAATTATTTTTATAATTCAGTGATTCATTATTTTTCTCCTTTTTTTTTTCAACTCAGCAATTCAAAAACTTAGCTCTTTTAATAATCAATAATTTCATCAATGTTCCGATAACAATTTAATTCAGTTAATACCAGTAATTCAATAATTCCTTCCTCTAATTTAATGTTCTAATATCTTTTCTTCTAATTCCAGCAACAAATTAAGAACTTGACCGATTCATTTTGCTGATTTAAATCTTTTATTATTAAAAATTCCTTTGAAGCGAAATATTTGCATTGTGTTGAAAATATGGTCGTTCATCGTGATCCAATGGAGATGCGGTGGTAAAGTTATTCGGTGCTGGCGTAATTGACGTGGACTCCGTGAGGTGTAGTGTTAATAAGTGTAGAGTGTTTGAATACGTATTTGATGAAGACGTTTGTTGCGTACTTTTATATATTCTTAGAGTTTAATTTCTTTTCAACTGTAGTGTTTACCATCAATGGGTGAAGGAGGGGAAGTGGCGCAGATTGGTACCTGCAAATGGTTCAATGTTCTAAAAGGTTATGGTTTTATCACACCTGATGAAGGTGGAAATGACGTATTTGTCCATCAGGCAAGTGAAATTTTTTTTCAAATTCTTCAAGATGAAATCAAATTTACTTTGCAGATTTCAACAAATCTTATTGTTTTGTAGCATACTTCGAAGTTGATCGATGTGATTATAACTGCTTAAATTATAAGATACTTATAATTCTTCTGTTTCTGTTGCAGTCTGAGTTAAATATGGATGGTTTCCGAAGTTTGGATGCCGGTGAACGTGTTCGTTTTGTGATTCGGAAACGGCCGGAAGGCAACGAAGCAACAGCTGTTGTAAGTGCAGAACCTGGTGGAAAACTGAAAGGAAGTTCTATCAGACCTCTTGGAAAGAATAAATCACATGTTATAAGGTTGTTGATTTATGTCATTTCTCTGATTATTTAGAAAATGAGTAAACTGATAAGATCTAGTGCTTAACATACTTTGCTCTTGATTTAATTCTATCATGCTAATGTGTTTCCTGTAGAAGGAAGTGGATGATTAGGTATATTTTGTGCTTTTCCTTGTCAGCTTAATAATACACGTACGGTCATGAGAGCCTAACTTCCTGCAAAGGCGTAAGTTAGGTTGATGAATTCTTTATAAGTAATTTCCTTTCTCATTCGAATTTTGTTGATTGGATTTTTTGGTCTCACGGTGTATAAGTGATACCTTTTTTAGGAGTAAGGATTGAATCAGAAAGCATGAAAGTCTTTATCAGTGTCGAGATTGTAGCGGAGGTTCTTAATTCCACGAAATATGTACAAAAAATTGTGTGAGATTTTTTTGTACTTTTTTTCATTAAAGAATGACTTATTTATTTCGCAGTTGCAGATGTTTTAAATGTGGTTATTACGGGAATCATACAGCAGCCAAATGTAAAACAACGGTTGGAGCCGAAAAAGCGTGCTATGGATGTCATGCAGCTGATCATTTGATCGCTGATTGCCCGCAAAAAGTAAACTATAAAAATGGTAATAAAACAAAAAAGAACAACACCGAAGGAAGTGATGCGAATGAGAAAGTGGCGGAAGTAGAGGGTACTGAAGAACTACAAACAAAAGCAAAAATGGAAAAGACCGATTCGAAGATGAAAGAAATCACCGTCGATAAGGACAATGTCGTTAAAAGCAGTAACTGTTTTTAAATTCCCTAATTTTCGAAATTCTCTCAAACTATTTGACATCGCAGAAAAGGCATGTTGTTAAAGGGAAGATTTATAGTTAATGATTGCAAAATTTTCACTTTTATTTCTTACCTTACTGTATTTCATAATAACGTATATAGCCTTATTTCAACTTTATTTCGGCCTAATTTGCTCCAGTGTTTATTTTTTGAAACTTTTATATTGGTATTATCTATCCCTTATCTCGACAACGTTTTCATCTCTGCAGATTTTGGCTCATTACGCCAATCACACAGGTTAATAGGAGGGTCATTCATTTAGAGGCATCAGTTATTTGATAATTATTATCGAGACTTTAACATTTTTGTGTCGGAAGATATGTTTGATATTGCGGTTAATTCCCAGAAATTGTATGATCTTTTAAGAAAAAAACAAGGCTTTAAAAACTAACATCTAATTCCATATTTTTTCTAAATCATAAAAAACCTAAACAGTCCGCTCAGTCTGTACCTTTCTTGTTTTATCTGCATTCATAGGCGTCTGAGTGGTGTTTAGTTCTTGTAATGTTATCATCACAAATCTATTTTATAGTAAAAGCCAAAATCTCTCTCACTCTCTATCTCTATCTCTAAATTGATCATGATTTTTGTTGTTAGTTTTTCTTTGTTATTCCAGCTTTATTAATCCACTGTGTCACAGTGATTGTTGTATACGTTGTTGTCTCATTATCATTATTATTGAGATTATTACTCAGGAATTATGCGTGACCTCACTTTCGTGATTATTCGAATTCCGACTAACTACCTCAGAATGTAACTTTTCATGCTGATCATTGTACCTCAGGTTAAAATTGTGTTATGTTGCAACTCAGGCAGGCTTGTTATTTTATCAGATTGTGATTTTTTCTGTTAATAGTTGAATAAATATTATATTCGCAGCTTATGTTGTTACATTTTAAATTAGTAATATATGAGGATGTCAGACTAGCAGGTGCACACATTTTAGTGTGACAGTGACCTTTAGTAACAGTGGAAGCATTGAAGGACCGTGGGCTATTATTTGTCTTCAGCGAGTTCAAAATTCGCAAAGAGGATGGGAGAACTCGTGCTAGTTGAACTGAATATCTTTTCTGCAAGTTGTAAAAATTCCCTGCTTCGGTATGAATTATGAAACCGGAGCCATAAATCATTAATTCATAACATTTTATAACAAAATCGATTAGAATATTTCATAACATTTTAAAATAAAATCAATTCGAACAAAAGGGCCTGTAAGTTTAGATGGAAAAGTAATACAAAGAACTATTAAAAGTAGAAAGGTGGAGTTCTGTGATTCTGCACAAATAAAATGCGTATGTGGTAACGGAGAGACGAGCTTAATTGCTTTGAGATGCTGCAGAACTGGAAAATCCTAATTGTTCAAAAAATTTGACGAAATCCTGCGCGTTTCATGCTCAGTAAAATTCATGCCTTACTATCCAACAACCATTTTCACCTGTTTTAAGCTCATTAACCTTATTTGGTGCCTACTATAACATATATGTACAATAACATTTATTTCACATAGTAAATCCAAAAATATTAACTGTAACTTCTCGATCGCGACTATCTAGCGATGGAGCTGAGGCGTAAGCAAGCAGATAAGTATTCGGATGCCAAGCACATGTAAATGTTTCAGCATTTACTCGAAGTTCATGCACTCTAAAATATGAAAACCAAATTTTAGAAGCAACACTGAAAAACACTCTGTAAGAGAGTCCCCTACGATATTGGTCTTCCACGAAAGATATGATTTGATAGAATTTCAAAAGCGAAATCATGAAAATAAAAAAAGAAACCTTGCGCCGTTTTCTGCCCAACAAATATCAATAAAATGATCTTCACTTGCACAGGCTATCATTTGACTATCCGCACTGAATGAGATTGAACGTAAGGGATAATCCAATCTACAACAAATATTATGCCATTCATTCAACATAATCTATTAAATGCGAATCCTGCTGTTACAGATAAACTATATTTTAAATTTTCAAACATAAAAAATTATACAGTTAATTAACTGTTATACATGAAAAAACAACAAACCATGACAATTTATTTTATTTATAGCATCACCACTCTTCATATAACATAAAATTAAATAAAAAGATAAAAAACGAACCTTCCCATATTTGACTCACAGATTAATTCATTAGCATCCCAAATCGAGCATACGGCATCCGATGCACCAACGGCAAAACGTTGACCATCCGGTGAAACAGCTAAGCAAACGCAAGTAGCTTGCGCAGGATGTGCTTGCAATGTTCGTCGATGTGTTACATCTGGTGTTCTAAAATTTAAAACCTAAAAAACACGATTAGAAAATCTGCATAGCAGAAAGTTGAAAAGAGATGGAAATATTTGTCTAGTTATTTAATCTCATCATGAATTAAGTTTGCAAGATGTTCAAGAATAGATCGTGGACACAGCTGTTACAGAGTTACATTAATAAATGATTAAGAGAAATGATTATTGCTAAAACAAGAATGCCATAATCAATAAAGAAATTTCATGAATCTACTAAATTCTCTATTTTTCCTATCAAAAAGTTCAGAATCATCTAGCATAACGATGACTTAAAAAATTTACGAAAAAATGTTGACTTGTCCACTTCCCATTGCCACAAATAAATATTTCCCAGATGGATCAAATGCAAATTCATTCACTTCATCTTTCAGCGATTCAACTTTGATTGTTTTCAAATTTCGGCTATCTAGGATACTTAAGGAATCTTCCTTGTCTCCATATGCTAAATATGTACCACACGGTGACCAGGCTACATTCAAATTCTGCGCTATAAATAACAAAAGGATAAAGAAATTTATGCTTAGATTATCTGTGAATTATATGATAATTTTAGAAACTTTTTGCTTTTTGCATATCACGAAGAATCACTAATTTCCTTATCTTCTCTACAAAGACAGATCTGAATAAATAATTCACAAAAGTACACTGCTGTAAGCCTCTTATCCGACTATGGAAATGAAACGAACAAACATCCGTGTTTACGATATCGGCATATGATACCCTCGAAATAAACAAATTTTAGTATTTCTTTTTTATAAAATAAATATATTTCTTGACAGTTTCATGACCTCTTACTTTAACACATTAAGCCTAAATCAAATAGTTATAAAATGCATAAATACTAGTTCCTAATTTTTACCTTTAGTATTTAACCTAGTGTGTGTTCGTGCCTGTCGAATATCCCATAATCGAACAGATTTGTCTGCACTAGCTGAAGCTAGCAAATATGGATTTGATGGATGAAAAGCAACCTGATCAACCTGTTCATTGTGACCAAAGCCACGGAAAATCGTCTTCTACAATGAAAACAATTTTGCTTCACTTCTAATGAACCTGTCGCAAATTTAATTATACAAAAACAAAGCAAAATTATTTCATTTTTGAAATAGTACTTTATATGATGTTATATCGTGACATTCCCTCTATGTTTTACTTGCTATTCATGGATCTTCAACATATATTCCATTATTTACAAATAATTTTTAAAAAATATGTTAAAAATGTTAAAATAGGGTGCAACAATAGGAATTGGAAAGAAATAACAATTAGTATTAAGTATTCAAACAAGTAAGAAATAATACGATGGTTTAAACCAATAAAATGATAGCATTTTAGTATTACCTTTTGTTCCAATATATATTAAATACATATTATAAATACTAACGACTCGAAATGATGAATCAAATGTTATCACTGACACACTTTTTTCCGCTCCTGCAGCAAGCCGAGTACCATCACAATTCCAGGATACAGTAAGAGGTCGTGGTACCTGCAATCCTTGCAATTATAACACTAAAAAATAAGGTGATTTTTAGCTTTAAATATTTTAGGCTTTTTTGAAGCATTTAACAGCATTCTATTGGTTTAAAAACCATCGTATTATTTCTTACTTGTTTGAATACTTAATACTAATTGTTAAGTATTCAAACAAGTAAGAAATAATACGCAAGTAAGAAATAAATATTCGAACAATAAGCAACAAGAACAAATATAAATTCTAAGCTTCTCAAATATTTTGTTACAACATTAATACTAAATACTTATGAAACATTGAGCTGCGAGATGAAAAGAAATAAAGCTGCAATGCTAATGATTTAATAAAACGCTGAATTGTTAGCTTAAAATAGCATGTGCAGACCTGCATATCATATGTTTTAACCCGGTCATTTTTTTTGAAATGTGAAATAGCATCTTGAAATGTCTGGATCTTTGATGATATTGATGATGACGATGATGATGATGATGATGATGATGGTAATCCATTTTTCCGCTGTAATGTTTTTGAGGATTGTTCCCGATTTTGTGTACCCATTTCGTTACTGATCGTAATGATAACTGCAATTCAATTCCATCAAACATGACATTGAAAAATTGGAAATTATGCATCAAAAGCACGAGTTGAATCGATAATGAATAACTTCTACGTAATCACCAAACAGATGTGTTAAAAAGATAAATTTCACAAAAGAATTACAATTTGGGGCCGTCTGCATAGCAGAACTAATGCATTTAAAAAAATACAATTTATTTGAAACATAGATATTAAACAAAAATCAAACAACTATTGCTATAGGAAAATCGTTAAATCGAATTCAAAACTAATCGAGATTTGTCCCAAGTCTAATTTATGATAAAATTAAACATTCAAAAAAAAATGAAACGGATGTGGAGAAATAAAAAAAAAAGGCTGGTAAGTAAAGTGGTGTAACAATATAAAACAACAAACTTTATTAAGAATTTTAATTAGCATATTGTAATTTTATTTTCCATATTTCTTCCAGAAAATAGCTAATGTAATGCAAAAAGATGGAATTGCAATATTGGAACGAAAAGAAAATTAAATTTTCATTAATTAATCACTAATTACATTACAAAAAATTATTTCAACACGAGATTTATACCATTCATTATAAAATCAAACAATACAATTAAGCGAGCTATTGCTTTATCATTTCTATTTCAGATTAGTGATTTACAAAGAAAAAAAAACTAATAAAAATGTTGTTTCCCTTTTTTCCATGTTGAAGGATCGAAAAGAATGTTCTATAGGAAAGAGGACAAATAAGAAGGAAGCATATGACGTAGCTAAACACATCTTTATCAGCAATTTTTCCAGTCATAACCCAATCAATCAATCAGTCGACCAGTTTGTTCTTTTTACTAACTAATTATTTAATAATATAATATTAATGAATTTCAGCTATGAACTTGTAATAAATTTAAAAATTTCCTAAAACAAATTTCGGTTTATTCAAAAATATAAAGGAATAAAATTTTATCAACTCACAGTGATTTAAGGTAATAAAAAACTTAGAATAAATATAACGCAT